GTCATCCCAGGGGATTCACAAAGCTCTCTTTCAGGATCGTGTTCCAAAAACATCAATTTTCTTCTGGCCCAACTTTCACACCCATCAGGAATAGAATAGTGTGAATGACCTTGGTCCCCAGTAAAACTTCCTTCCACTTGACCGTCTTTTCTAGTTCCATGCTTGTTCTCTTTGAAGCCTCAGTTTTCATCTGATTTGTCTGCTGTCTCCCTTTAATTGATGACTGAGCCAAGGTATGCAAAAGTTGTAAGTTGGAGATGACTTGATGGCACGTAACAATAACAGCGGCAAACATCTTCATCATGTCACATTAAAAAAACAAACAAACCTGGATCTGTTGAAAACAAGTTTGCCCTTTGTGTGAGAGAGAAGCATAGAGACATGCAGAGTGGGGGGTTGAGAATATTGCAGTACAAGAACCAAAATCCTTCTTGGATCCACAGACTTTGTCGAGCTATTCTTTGGGTTATGGCCAAGGAGCTGGACGAGGCAAACCCCTCAATCTGATCCAACAAGGCATTGAGTATGTTTTTGAAACCTTGGAATTTAATGGATGCCAACATTAATTAGACCTCTTAGCATCATTTGTGATGTTTCAGACTTTTGGCAATTGAAGTTTTTTAGTACATATGGCAGACACCAGTTTTGAATACATATCTTTGTTTGAAATAGAAGTTCTAAAGAGATTGCAAAGTGGGTTGATTGAAAGGTTATATGCAGGGCCTTTCATAAAGGCAATTCAGAGAGCTATAAGTAACATCTCTTATTTTCAGCATGCTAAGTGGTTTGGGGTTGGGGGAAAGTATCTTGGATTATTTTTGCAAGTTTGTTTGTATTATTTTAAAGTGTGTTGTATTTGAAAGGAAATGAGAGCGACTATGTGAATTCAATACAGGCCTGATAAGAACTTTCGTACTGGCGGTTCAGTTGTAAAAATACATTTAAGTACTACTTTTTCTTCAAATGGAAATCTTGTTGCTAACCACACAGTTTTTATTAAATGAAACATTTTATTGGTGGCCTCATCGTTGCCTTTTTAATTTTTCTCAGAGTATGATGGATGCTAGATTCTTCACCCTGCCTTCACTGTTTGTGTTGTACATTTGTAACTTGGTCATCAGTGTAAATGTACAGCTGCTAGAGTTTCAGAGTTTATAAATTTGCTAAAAATGAGGAGAAATGGCTATTAGGCTTCCTTGCTTTATGTCTGGCTGTGATTGGTATCTAAGAAATAGGAAACTCCAATGCTTCTGGTAATGGCAGAATTGCCAGTGACTTGCCATAAATAGCACTGGTTCTAATCAACGAAGTTTCACAATCAAATGAGGCGTTTTGGGGAAGAGTATGCAAATTTCTCTTTTCGACAAAATGTTTAGGCTTTTCTGAACAGCCTGTTTCGAAATTGATGGAGGCTGCTATTAATAAACTTTGATAGCAGATTCCATCTTTTTCCTTTAGAAATATTATTTTAAATGATTAATGACATAATGCTTCTGTTTTATGCTGGCTGAAGAAAAATAAAATGTCCCATAGGTTTGATGTCATAAATCCCAAACACTTAAATTTAGGAGAATTCTGCTTTGAGAATGCCCTTCCCCAGTTATCTGAGGCACAGGGATCAATAGAATTAGAACACCAGATATTCTTTCTACAGTACATTTCTACCAGGTAACGCAAGGGCTACCTGGTATACTAGCTATTTATATTAAAGCAGAGATGGGATTCAGGCTAGTAAAGATCCATATCTTGTTGTCTTCATAAAGTCCAATCCTATGTACTTTGTCCATGTCTTCATTTAATCAAAACAAGCTGTATTTTTTTCATGACTTAACTACATGTACGCAAGCCCTGTGTTGCACTGAGATTTTAAACTGTGCATGCTCCATGGCTAGGTTTTTAAGGTCTGGGTTGCCTTGATATGTAACTTTGGCCACACTAATGAACTATGGCTGTTAGCCATGAACAGCCCAGAAAGAGAAGCTACAGTGGTTGTTGGATTGTGAACTATGGGTTGTATAATCTTGATTTTTTATATGTGAAACCAGAACTATGGGTTGTTTGTGGATTGTCTTATCAAACAACAGAGGTGGTGGGCAAGAGTGGTCAAAAAAGTCAGATGCTCTACATAACAGTACTACAGTACCATAAATGCACCTGGGATACACAGGGGGAAGCAGATGAAAGAGAAAAGAAAGCGACCAGGCACTGGGAAATCACACCACAGTTTGTTAAATTGTCTGCCATTATTTGACTAGGGCAGAACTCACAGGTTAAATAAGTCACGGGTTACCATTGTGTGTGAGCCAGGTTAAGGGAAGATATTGCAAGATCCTTTCAAAGCAACAACATCTTTTTTATGGCAATCAGGTGATACAGAACATGTGTCACTACTTGCAGTGCTTTGAGAAAATACTGCCTTTGAGTTTTACAAATTTTGCAGTGTTACATCTGGAATTGAAATGGATTTAATTGGTGTTCAACTTGATGTACACAAGTCATTCAACACTGTGAAGGTACTTTTTTGTGGCACAAAAGTTAAATAAACTTTTCACTCAAGTGAACTGGCACTTTGGGTCATATAAATACACACCCCTTTGCTATGACCTGCCTAAGTAAGCTCTGATGCAACTCATTGCCTCCAGAATTAACGTACTGGAAGTGGGTGAACGGAGTCCGTCTGTGAGTAATCCCAGTGCTTCATGATCTCAGATTAAATGCACCTGTTCCTGGAAGGCCCCAAAATAGGTTGGGCGGCTTACTGAAACCAACAGCATCATGAAGACAATGAGTTATCTAAACAACCCTGGGGAAAGTTATGCAGAAACATCAATCATTGTTGGTTGTGACAAAATATCCTAAGCTATACTATGAACAGGGCACCATTCAATCCATTATCATGAAACAGAATGAATAGGCAACAAGCACAACTCTGGCTAATGAAGGCCATCCATCAAAGCTCAGTGACTGGGCAAGGGGGGCATTAGCTGGAGAAGCAACCAAGAGGTTGCTTCCAGTGGTAACTGCAAAGGAGTGGGAGAGATCCAAAGCTGAGAAACAAGAAACTGTCCGTAGGGCAACTATCACCAGGATGCTCTGCAAAGCTTTATGCAGTTGAGAAGAAAGCCACTGCTGAAAGAATGGGCGTGTTTGGGGTTTGCCAAGAGGCATGTGGGAAATACAGCAAACATGGGGAAAGGCAAACATCTCACGAGGCAACAGATCTTCTTGGCCTTGCTGCAAAATGCTATGTACGGGGCAGAGCCATCAGTGCTGTCACTCTGGGAACACCTCCCCACATTGAAGCATCAGGTTGTGGGGGTGCATTTCCTTGGCAGGGGCTGGGAAACTGATCCAGGACTGAGGGCAAGATGGAGGGAGCCAAATACTGAGCAGTTGTAGAGGAAAAGCTGTTCCAGTCTGCAACGGACCTGGACCTGGGCCAGATCTGAGGTTTACTGTCCAGAAGGACAGTGACCCTGAACATACAGCCCAGAAACACTGGATTGATTTCAGAACAAGAACCGGAACGTATGATGGCCCAGTCAAAGCCCAGCCCTGAAGCCAATTGTGGCAAGACTTGAAAGCTGAGGTTCACCAATGGTTCCCATGCAACCTGGCAGAGCTGGAGCGATTTCCCAGGCAGGGAGGGCAAGCATTCCAGCATCCGGACACACAACGCTGAACGAGATTTGCCCCAAAAGCCTTGCAGCATAATTCCTTTGGAATGCCCTTCAGCCAAGTCTTGACTCGGGAGGTGAATAGTTTGCTTTTATTTACAGAACTTTTGTGCCACAGTAAAAAATATTTGGCACCTTCACAGTGTTTAGCATCTTCTGTGCATCAAGTGGTAACAAGCCCAATTAACCCATTTCAGTTCCAAGTTGCAGTACTGCAAAATGTAGAGAAGTTGAGGGGAGGGGGCTGAATGGTACTGTCTTACGTTGTGCTGTTTGTATCGAAAACAAGAGAACTTGTAGTGAAATAGTGTGGATTAATTGGCCAGTTCCAGGCATAGTCAAAATAATTCCTCCTCTCTAACCAAGATGCATTTGTTACATTCAAAGTTACAAGATTTGCTGCTTGTACACAAAACTAACATACACAGCACGTTCATCACAGTAAAATTTCTAAACCAGCAACGTGCAACTTAAGGCCAGCCATATGTTGGTGGATTGCAACTTCCACAATCCATAGCCAGACTACCTAGTGAAGGATGATGGGAATTGCAGATCAAGAGCTCAAGGCCCACATGCTCCCAACCCCTGCTGTAAACTCACAATAGGGTGCCCATATAGTAATGTGAACCTTTAAACATATAGCCTGCCTACATGCCCCTTGATAGGTTTCGTCTTTTCCTTGATTGGGCACAGGTTTTCTTTTGTTCTTGAGTTTAACAGTGATAAATGGACGAGAGCTGAGCAGGGCTGTCCAGGACAAGGCACGTGTTCATCGGGTTGCCATATATCAGAGATGATTTATGTAGTTAATATACTACTGCCATTTTGTATTATTATTAAATAAAGTGGAAGGTCCTGTAGCAATAAAGTGGAAGGTCCTGTAACAGTTATTCTCCCATAACATTTCTTTATGCCCTAAGTCATAAAGCACATTTGGTAGCCTTTGCCTGCATTCCAGTGCCCACCTAATCGAGGGGCAAGTCTGATTGTGCTCAATGAAACTTATTCTGAGTAAGAATGGGGTAATGAAATTTATTTATTTCTCCCATTGTGGAACAAGGTAGCAATGTGTGGTTTCCAGGTGGTCTCCCCTCCAAGTTTAGGCCAGCCCCAGACCTGCTTGTCCTTGACTTCATGTGACTTCAAGGATTACTAGAAAGATACTGTGGAAATAATTTCTTTTGGTTGGCCATTGGTTCCCAGCTGAATTTTCATTCTGGTTTTCCTTCAGGATTGGACAATTCAATGCTAAAACATGCTGCATCTTGTTGGGCTTGTGGTTACATTAGAAAGTTGCCCAAATGCTGTACTTTTTTTCCCCAGACATACATTGGTTCCATCGTTGCTGCAGTCAACCCCTACAAGACCATTCCAGGCCTCTATGACCGCACCGCAGTGGAGCAGTATAGCCGGCACCACCTGGGAGAAATCTCACCTCATATTTTTGCTGTTGCTAATGAGTGTTACCGCTGCCTATGGAAACGTCATGACAACCAGTGTGTTCTCATCAGGTACCCAAATGCTATTTTAATTATTCTTGCCTTGATGGTTGAATTTTAAGCGTGTATTCTAGGAGGGGAGCACACATCAGATGCTTCAAGTGAGGGAAGAAAGGAAAATTCCCTAATTCTTTCCCCATAAATAATGAGATTTGTGATTACATTGCTTGGCTGCATGATCCCAGTCTCATTTTGAATGACAAAGCTGTCTCGGCTAATATATATCCTGTGGTCATGGGGTGGTGGGGGGAGAGAGAGAGAGAGTCGGTCTACAAACATTATCTCTGGCCTGTTCTCTGGGAACGCTTCAGTTTCCCCACTGTGTTGAGCCTTGCTGTGCAGAGGATTAATTTGTTACCACCAAGCTTGAATAAGCACATCCATTAAAAAAAATCAAACCCTTAGGAAGCCTATAAATAACAACAGCAACCATTATGGAAACTCTTCCGTGTGCTGGTTGGTTTAATCTGCTTAATTGAACTCGTTTGTTTTCTCTGTTGTTTAACTTAACTGTGATCAAACTTAATGAGGTTAAAAAAGTTTCCACCTTCATATCTGGTATTCAGTGGTATTCTGAGTGCTACCCTTTCATTGATGGTTATTAATGCTTCTTGGCAGTGAAGCTGCACCACCGCTCTGAGAGGGCCTTTGAACATGTAAAAGATGAGGCTGGTATCTTTGCCATGCCTCTCCCCACTTTGGCTTTTCCACATTCTGTTGTATTACAGCCTCATACTGAAAAAGAGGCAAGTTGCAATGTTACCACTTCATGTACAGAAGACAGTCAGGACTGTGAAGGTGCAGAATATTTTTACTGTGGTGCTAAAGTTAAATAAGCAAAAGCAAATGGGCACTTTTGAATTGCACAAGTTTTCATGCGCATGAGACAAGACCTGGCAGAAGTGCCTCTGGCAGCAATTACAGAGACAAGTCTTCTCACATAAGTCTCTGTCGGCTTTGCACATCTAGATCCTCCAGTATTTGCTGTTCTTGCTGGCGAAAGTCTCCAGTTCTGTCAGGTTGGATGAGGACTGTTGGTGAAATGCAGCTTTCATTCTTGCCACTGATTCACAACCGGGTTGAGGTCTGGGCTTTGACTTGGATATCCAAGTTCTGTTTGAAACCACTCCAGTGTTCCCTGAGCTCTGTGTTTGGGGTCATGGTCCTGCTGGCAGGTAAACTTCAGCTCTGCCCAGCCCCAAGTCCCTTGCAGACTGAAGTAAGTTTTCCTCCACGATTGCCCTGTATTTCGTTCACTCCAACTTGCCTTCAGTCCGAACCAGTTTCCCAGTCACTGTTAAGGAAATGCACCCCGCGACATGATGGTGCCCTCAACATGCTTCTCCGTGAAGACGGTGTTCTCATAGCACTGAGCAGCTTTGGCTTTGTGCCACACAGAGTTTTGTAGCAAGGTCAAGAAGTTCAGGTTTGGGCTCAAGTCAGACTAGAGAACCTATTTGCACATGCTTGCTGTGTCTTACACATGACTTTTTAAAACTCCAAGTGGACTTGGATAAAGGTTTGTTTCAGCAATGACTGTCTTCCAAACACTCTTCCATAAAACTCCAAGTGGACTTGGATAAAGGTTTGTTTCAGCAATGACTTTCTTCCAAACACTCTTCCATAAAGCCCAACTTAGTGGAGAATCCAAGTGAGCTATCCCGTGGATGGTTTTTCCCATCTGAGTCGTGGAGCTCTCCAGCTCCTTCAGAGTTGCCACTGCCCCCTTGGTTGTTTCTCCGACTAATTTGTTTCCACCAATTTACTGAGCTTTGGTGGACAGTTACAGATTTGTGGGCTGGTCCCAACTCTTTCCCTACTCCATAGATCATGAAGAAAAGGTTTTTTATTTTAAAGCTGGCCAGCTAGTACTGACCTGGTTATACATTGTCATTAGCAAGAGGTATCCATCAAGTTAAAACCCTCTAATTTTGGAGTTAGTGCTTGTCCATACCAAGCATGGTTCCAAACTGAATTGTCCCCCAAACCAAGTAAGTTTCACCTCCAAAGAGATTAGTATTGTTTGAGGGCCAAACAGTGGCAATACCAGATGCTGCTTAATTGGTTTAACGTCAAACCATCACACACACCTCCTCATCTGGCCTTCCCTGTTACATAGTGTCTCCCACTGAAACAGATGTAGTCTGGTCTTAACAGTGGTTTGAGTTATCTTGAAGCTTGTTACCCTTGGCATTTCATCAACATTGCAAGCTTGCCTCTTCTTCCAGTTCAGATTCAGAGCCTGAAGTATCCACCTTGAAAAAGCAGCTCCAAGCTCTACTGGCAAAGTTGTGGTTGAGTATTTTCTTTCCATTGTGTAATAATGACTGTAACAGTTCTCCAACAAAAATATTTGAACTTACGTAGTGTCAAGTACCTTGTGTACACCAGGTGGTAAGAACAGCAATTAAATCAATTTCAATTCCAGGCTGTAGCACAACAAAATGTGGAAGTCAAAGGGGGCAAATCCTTCTGCAAAGATATACAGATATATAATTTCTATACTGCCCAACAGCCAAAGCTCCCTGGACAGATTACAGCTACACATAAAATACAAAATAAATTACAAACAGTAGTAAAAACATCATAAAAGATTACCATACAAAATCTTAAAACAAATGTAAAATAAATATTTAAAACATCTACAGAAGTTTTTACATATTAAATTGTAAGACCTAGTCAAGCAAGTGGCAGGACCTGATATTCCTGATGAGAAATATATTGCTGTTCTTATGCATTATTTTCCACTTATAATACTGATAATAAGATATGATGGTATATTATAGCCAGCAGTGTGCTAGTCCTGGAAGTCATTTGGCACCTGCCTGGAAGATTTGCACTTCAAGGGCTGCTTTGCATATATCCAAGTTCTTTTTTGGAAGACACTTCCAAGGAGGAATTAGAATTGATCTGTGCATTCCATGGAATCCCATCTTACAGCTTTGCCTTGAGAATGCAGGTCAGGGATTCCCTGCATGTTAAGAACAGAAAGTACATGAAGTAGAAGTCCAGCCGTGAACCCCTCCCACTCTTTTGAATTTCATTTGCTTGGTGGAGAAGCAGTATGCTTATGTGAACTCTGAGATATATGGTCTTAGGAAGAGCTGAACCCTGTGATTATACTGCATCTGTAGATTAGCTCTTAGCATGAACCCTGTACATTGATGGTCATTTTTGACTGTATACACATGTTTCTGTGGGAGTCCATGTTCTGTGAAGCCATGATTGGTTTGACATTTCCAAAGATCACATTCATTTCATAAAAGCTGTTAACGTGCCAGAGCTCTGAGGTTAGTTTTAGGTTCAACTTAATAATAGTACTCTCCATAATTTTAATAGGAGACCAGAGCTCCTCTCCTTGACCTTCTTCAAGCTGGATCTCCCTCAATAGGTTTGAACTACAAATCCTCAATCAAAGGGCACTAGATAGGGGGAGGCCAGAATACAAAAAGAGAAAATGTTCCCAGAATAGTCCTTAAAGCTGGAACAAGCTTGCTATGAATATCAACTTTGATCATTGGACTATTGCGTAATATTCTAACAATTAGTATCAGGTTCAGGGCTAGGTTTACCATTAGGCAGAGAGATTTGTGGTGCATTATTAATTTATTACTGTTGTATTCTTGCTAGCAGGGAGGGGGTCAGGCATTTGCGCAATTTTCCAAAACAATTTCACTAATACTGGGCATTCCACACTTTAATGTGTATATGGGTGGGATGCCACCTACTGCTTTGCCTCAGGCTGACCCTGATCTGCCCATTAAAGGGCTGTTCATTCATTGACTGACTGCTGGTTTGTGGTCGAAAGGTGTGACTGGATGCTCCTTCACCCTTGCATGGGTTGCTTTGCTTTGGGATGAGTAGCAAGAGTGAGAAGTGAGTGACTGAAGGAGAGAAAGAAGGCTCACAGAGGCATGGGGCCTGTTGATGTCCTCTGGCTCAAGAACCCTTAAAAACCTGGAGCACATATTGACTAGCTACATAAATAGCAAAGCAGTCGATGGTACAGCTTGCTGCTAAAAGTAGGTAGGGCAGGGAGGCCGGCCATACTCCACCCACTTCTCTGGTCAAGGCCGTTGCTGCCTCACTGCACCTTGTAGGCCGGGTGAAAGCACAGGGTGGTCTCCGCCGCAGCAGTCGCCATTCTTCTTGCTATTTCCCTGCTGCAAAGTAGCACTGAGAGGGTCATGATGAAAAGGCGATGTGGCACTCCAGAGAAGATGTGCTTTGCCTCTCCTCAGCTGTGGCTTCAGAGCTGCTTCCACCACTGGCGCGCAGAGATGTGGCTTGGCCTTCAAACCTGTAGTTCTCGTCCAAATAATGCAGCATCGGAGGCAGGGTGGGGACACCTGAGGCTTTGTCATAGCTTTCATAAGGGTTTGCTTTGTAATGTGACGGCTAACATACCAAAAGATCTATCATTTCAGTGGTGCTTCTCATTTTACATTTTATGTGACGTACAAGTCAAGTATAAATAGTGTGTGTCCCTTGCTAGTTGAGACTGGTCCATAAACACCCAAATTGCTGCTGTTCTGTTCTTGTTGGAATATGGAGAAGCAATTACTAGGAACGTTTTGGTCTCCTGCCTCTGGTATTTTGCCGAGGAGAAAGGCAGTTTAAATGCCCTTGTACTTTTCTCAGCTCCCATGTGTCAATATTAACAGGCACATCCAAGAACAAAACCTTATTTTCTTATTTTAGAAGAGGTTTAGGCATGCTTCAATCATGGGGCTTCCCTTTGGATGTTGCCAGTTGTTTTTGTACTTGGTGCTAGCATGCCAGGATACTCGTAGGCCTGTGCCAGTTCGTTATGATAACTGTTGTAATTTTATCTCTCTCTTTCACACACTCATATGCATCGATATGTGATGTGAAGCAGCCATCCAAAGAGGCAGTACTAAGAACGTTGTTTTTTGCATAATGAAACAAAAAGCGTTAATTGCAAGCAAGAGAATGGGCATAACCAGGAGTGGGAGGGGTCCTTGCCAAAAAGACACGGGTGCGGGACATGATCCTCGGGACTATCTAACACATGCAGTTTGTCATTAGAAAGACAGCAGGAAGCCTTTTCTGTGTTAAGCACGTTTTTTGGCAGCGGCTGTTGAAACTGCTGTGCAGTGTTACTAGCAACTTTTTAATGCCAGATCCAGTAGGAACTGTAAGTCTGTCATCTGTCGAGTGACAGTGATAAAGAGGATTGATTGTGCACTCTGTTTCTTCTGACCTCTAAACAAATATATCTCAATTTCTGTGTTGCCAGCCTGGGTGGCTTTTGTCCTCACCGTGGCTTGTTGGCACAGCTGGACAAGGTCTCAGGTGCCTCATGCAGGGGCCCCTTTTAAAAAACGGTTTTGGCACCTAGGAATGTGAAATGTTATTTCTGCGCTGCTTCTTTCTGGTGTTTGTTTTGTTTCCATTTTTGCTGTGGTTAAGTTCTGATGTTGTGCAACAGGCTGGGGCATTGAAAAAATTGGCAAGGTGCTGGAAATAGGCGAGAGGTGTGTGCATACACGTGTGCAACTAGCATATAATAAGAACATTATGCGGGGCAAATCGCAGATTTGATCAGTGCTGCTTGTCATTTCGAGGTTTGCAAGTACAAAATGGAAGTATGAAGAAAGGGGTGAGGAGATAATGAGAAAAAGAGGAATAGAATTTAGTGCTTGGTTTGCTTTGCTCTTCTATGCTCATTCATCCATTTGCTATTTATTTATTTATTTAAAATTTTTATAGACTGTTCTATAGCAAATGCTCTCAGAACTGTTTGCAGCATAAAACTCAGCAATAACAATAACATCCATAATAATCATAACAATTTCAAAGATGATAACCACAATGAACAGGGAAAACAAAATAATACACAGCGCAGAATACTGATCCACTGCAACCATTCACTCACAATCCGAATGAAAACCAATTTAAAATCAAACCATCTGTTCAACAGTTAAAATGATGGGAAAATAAAAAGGGGTTGACTTGGCACAGGAAAGTACGCAGTGTCGGCTCCAGGCACACCTCCCTGGGAATTTGGCTCCATACGTGAGGCACCATATTTAGGAGCTGATGCATGCAAATGTACCTCAGTGCTAACTCTGAAGAAGAAAAAGTGTCCCAGCCTGTTTTGGGAGAGGGCGATTTAGAGGAGAGAAGTGGCAGGGAGAAAACCTTTCCCCACCTGCTGCTTCCTAGCACCAAGTTTCCTTGGCCAAACAAGCTTCCCCCAAATCCCAGTCCTTGAAAGGTATTTTATTTGTCCTCCAATCGCAAGGGAAGGGGGAGGATTCGGAGCAGGGAAATGGGCAGGGGAGGTACTCAGTACCCCCTTCTTGGTTTTACATCCCAGTGTAGTTTGCTTCTCAAAAGAGAGAGAAGGAAGGAAGGAAGGAAGGAGGAAGACATTTATGTCTCAGATTTGCATCCGTTTTCTTCCATGAAGGCAGCATGCTGGGTGGTATCCCATTACTCTCCCATCCCTGTAGCTGTGTCATGTGCACACAAACCATGGCCCAGGTGTTGCGCAAGCATGCATGTGCAGCTGGATGTTATGCGTGCTGCAGAAGGGCAGATTGCAAAGTCACTTCCAACGTGTGATAACGAGGACAGTACGCTCCCTCTAGTGGATCGCCTGCTTCACAGCAATGATGTAGGCTTTTTGGGATTGAGTAAGGGATGTACAGGTGCTTTATAATCAATGGATTATTGATTTTTGAAGAGATAGTTTATCACCACTTGATGAAGTATTAGGACAAGAATGGCATATTAGTTTCAGTGCTAATCTGGACTGAGTTTGGAAGCTGGACAATATTAGTTGTAGCCAGCTTCCTTACTTTTGGTTCTGAGCAGGGGAAATGAATTGGTCCCTGTCCGTGTGTGCATGAGAGCGAGATTGTGTATGTGCTGCTAGTAAGCTGTGCCCTCCCAGATCCTGCGTTCTAATACCACCTGCCTGGCACCATTTGGAAAGCGGTGTATTCGGCCTTCCCCAACCATTTGTGGCACTTCTGTTGTAGAGTATACTCATAGCTTTCCTTGCTGATTGCTAGAATTACATTTCTGATTGCTGCTATTGAGTGTGGAGGCAACCTGGCCACCCCTGATGCTAGCTGCTATTAAAGCATGGATAAGGAACATGTGATGTGAACAAAAGAAACAGGGCTTTCTTTGCAGACAAGTTTGTGATGAATATAACATGAAGGAATGACTTGCTTGCAAGTGGAGTGATGATGCCTGGGGTGTGAAATTCATCAGATATTGGATCATTGCCTTAAAGTATCTTCTGAAAGTCTCTTGTTTGGTCTGAAGGAAAACATCAAGGAAGCTACATTTTGGGCAGGCGTCAAACTTTGCAGGGAGGGATATATCCTGGCATAGCAAGATAAACGGATGAATTTAGTGACCTCATCTCCCACTAGAGTCTTATATTTTACCTGTTTTGAAAGAAGTTGAGCCTGAAGATTGAACTGCAATGTCTTCAAAGTGTGTGGCTTTGTTGCGTTTCATGTGATTCAGAGCCAACAGTTCATGTTACCATTTGAGGGTTGCTTTGCAGATGGTGGGAGAAGGTTGAACTCTTCCCTGCTGTTGCTGCAACTCAGTGGGAAGGTGGTGGGACTAGAGCACATAGCAGCACCTCCAGGAAAAATAATGATCCCAGATTTCCCAGATAGCTTGTCCTTAACAAACCAAAAATAGGGTACATGAGGGCTAGGTTCAGACAATGCAACAAGCCATGGTGTGCATTTTTTTACCATTGCTGACCTGTCATTTTGTCTGAACCTGGTTGCAGTATTTCACCATGTAAATTTGGTCTTTAGAAATTACAATATGAAACAATGGTTTGTTCTATGGTTTCTCTGTACCACCATGGCTTGTTGCATTGTCTGAACTCAGGATCATGGTTTCCATGGTCCTGGTATACAGTTACCACAAAATCTTCTAGAAAGAGCAGCAACTGAAGGAGCCCACCCAGCCCTTATGTGCAGACCACTCGGGAAGAGGCAGACAATATAGTCAGGGAGTGATATACCTCGGGATTGTGTATCTGGTGCACTGGCTGATGGGATACGTGCCAAGAGTGAGAGGACTGAGCAGAGAGGATGGAAATGACCATGACATAGAAACCACTTGATTGTCTGTTAGGTAGATCATGGTAAAAAAAGAAATTAACAACCTTGGTAACCCACACAGGGTTCCGCATCCTGTTGTGTGATGCCAGCTTGTGATGAAAAACATAAATTCACAGCCTTGAAAATACACTGTAACAAAATCTTTCAGTTTTCTGTGGTTTTCAAATCTTATATCAGACAGGGAATGGAACATGTGACCCTCCAGATGTTTGTCCTCCAACTTTTAACATTGGCTAAACTGGCAGTTGTAGATAAAAACATCTGGAGTGTCACAAGTGGCACACATCTTTGTGGTATCAGTGTATTTCAGTTCTCAGAAGACTTATTTCTTATTCTTTTATTTTATACTCGGTATCAAATTATGATTTAACAATAGTTTTCTTTTATCATTCTCTTATTTAAAATATAGATACTGTTAAAGTTGCCAACAAATATAAAAGCATAGTATAAGAAAACAATAAAAAAGCATATTTTTAAAAACGCACAATTACCCTTGCATGCCAACAAAAATCTTTTTCCACTACGGAGTCATTCATTCACCAACCCCTAACAAGTCTTTAATTTGCTGAAAGGTATTTTGAGCAGATAACTCATTGGATCTGTTCTTCTTTTGCTTCCCAGTGGTGAAAGTGGTGCTGGTAAAACAGAAAGCACTAAGTTGATTCTCCAGTTTTTGTCTGCTGTGAGCCAACACTCGTTGGAACTCTCTCAGAAGGAGAAGACGTCCAGTGTTGAACAAGCAATTCTGGAAAGCAGGTACTGAGTCCATAGTCTCACACATGTTCCACAACACTTTCCAGATGGCAGGTTGAAAATAAGTAGGGAACATAGAAGGAAGATCATTCAGAGTAGCCCTTTGCCTGTTTAGCTACCAGGAAATAAAACTATTGCCGTACCAAGGGTAGCCAGAAACACATCTGTCACTTGAGATTTTCTAAATTAAAGCAGCCTTTTTCAACAAATGTCTAATTTGTTTCCATAATATATTCAGCATATGTGGTACAGACATCTGCATCTCTTTGATACATCAAATCTTGTAAAACTCCAGTGAAAATAAAGTAGAATTTTATGTAAGGTTTTGATCTTAAACATGCAAACTATGTAGCTAGAATTTGAACATCTAATCCTAAGGTGGCCTTCCTCATGCTTTGTTTTCAATTTGAACGGCTCCACGTTTTATTACCTCATTTATTTTTTATGTTATTTTATATGTAATATATTATCCTTCAGTTGTTTCCAGGAGCATACATTGTGCAGGCTTGTTATAGATCCTGTTAATTAGTTGCAGTCTATCTGAAAACAGTGGCATATTATCATAGAAGAATTCATCAGAACCAACACAAAGTCTGTTAGGACAGAGGGGGAAGTTACCTTGCCAGATTCCATTCTGTCACTTCTTCTGTGGCTCTAGAGGCCCTCCCAGAACGTCAGATGGAGCCCAGCCGTGAAAGTCATTTTTCCCCTGTGGCATGGAGGGCTGTTCTACCCTCTCAGATCAGCCCTGTGTCCTGACAGTGAAGCAGGTGTTTTAGGTATACTTTTCAGAGCTCCCCACGCTATTCCAAGAAGGAGTGGTTGTTTCATTCCGCTTTCCTCGGACATGGCCAAGAAGCACCTGGACTTCGTTCACCTTGCCTGGGGCAGGCTAGGCCACCTGCCACCAAATGTGGCAAGTTCTTCGTGCCCAGCCCAGCCCCCACCACAGGGCTGGGATAGGCCAAGGATTGGCACTGCGGTGCCCATGGGCAAAGCAGTGCCAGCAAGGACCCCGAAAGCACCCCATCTGCTCCTTCGCCTTGCCCCTTCCCTGCCCCCAGAAGCAAGCAGGGGAGGTAGGGGAATATGGCAGAAGCAGCCTGCAGGTGGTGGGGAAGCAGGAAGAAGTTGCAGAAGCATCTAGAGGGCATCTAGAAGTGCTGGAAGCCGCTAGGGCAAGTAGCAGAAGTGGCAGGTGCTGAGTGTTGGGGCAGAAGGAATCTGAGAGAGGGGGCAGAAGTCATGACAAGAAAGGAAAGGGAGCAAAATAGGGAGGGGGCAAGGAAATAGCATCCCAGCATGCAGGAGGGCAAGAATATAAATGCACAGCCCCAAGTGATTACAGAGCAAATGCACAAGATAAAAGACTTTGCTCTTCTTTTGCAGATGTTGTTCTAAGTCTGTAACTTATCCATTCTTATGCACTGCCTGGTACATGTCAAGCTAAATAAGTTGTCTGTATGAGCAAGTTTGCATCATAATTGTGGGTTTCATTGATGAATGAACACAGAAAGGAGAGAGGTTAAGAGTATGATGGAGATCACACAGATGCAACTGAATCTCTTTACAGTATCTTTGGACAATTTCATAATAACTGGTTCATAGCTCTTTGTTCTTTCCTAGTGTGTCTGCCAAGGGGACCTGAATGCTAGTGGTTAGCAGGGACAGACAGACAAATGCATGCTATAAGAAGAAAATTGTCAAGTGGGTGTAGGATCCATTTTTATTTTATTTCATGGAAGCCATTAAGCTAACTGCAGTGTGTTGCCTTAGTGCTGCAATGACAAACAGAACAACCAGGAATCACATTGTATAAATTGGCAATTGCCCTATTTATCTTGCTGGGTGACACACATGTATCTGGCAGACATATAATGGCCTTTGTCCATGAGAAGTAAAACTAGGACTTATCTCCAGCTGTAAGAAGCTTCAGTGTCCACAGAAACTATTTTTCAACACCCCCATATTCCCTGTTGCAAGACTGTTCTTGGACCATTCCATTTTGGACTGCAGCTGCAGGATTGCCTGGTTAAGTGCTCAAGTATACACAAACCTGCCTACACATCAAACAAAGCAAGCGGACTACATGCTGGGGGGAAATGTTCTACCTTAGCTGTCTCCCCAGTCTGTTATTTTCTCTGTGCTGCATGCTTGTTTTCTGGAGAGGACATTCAGAATTGTAATTCCTACCCCGACCTCATGGAATCATAGAATGAAGCTGTGCAGCAGGTCTTGTTCCCCAACTTGGTGGCCTTCAGATACTTTGGACTTCAGCCCCCATCAACTATTGCTAATAATAAGGAATTCTGGGAGTTGCATTCTAAAACATCTGAAGAACCCCAGCTTGTGGGAAGCTACTGTACAGTCTAGGAGCCAAGAACTGTTTGGGGTGTGGGTGGGGATGAGTTGGGGGTGATCTACACCAGATGGATTTGGTTGTTTGCTAAGTTCTAGTGAACAAGAACTTTGCTATAGATCTCATTGGTTAATGCTCTTGTCACTTTTTTATTTTTTATTTCATTTTATTGTTTTACAGCCCAATTATGGAAGCTTTTGGCAACGCAAAGACTGTTTACAACAACAACTCAAGTCGTTTTGGGAAGTTCATTCAGCTGAACTTCTGTCAGAAAGGCAACATTCAGGGAGGAAAAATTGTAGATTGTATCCTGTGTTTTCCGTGATTGCCCTATTATTACAGCATGACAACTACATATATTTTTATAGGGCGAACAAAGGAGACTTTTGCCTGTTTTTCCAAATATATTCCAAGGTTGTAGTTTAGAATGTCAGAGTCTCTGAAAACCGTTTAGTAGTGAACCACGTCTGTATCACAGATTATTGTGGAATGTGATGAAAGGGTAACAACATTTTATAGTGATTTTTAAAAAAACAAACTAGCTTTTGCTTCAACATCCAAATGTGTGTTAATCCTTGGGAACAGTTCTCTTAGTTCAGACACAAGAAGTGCAGTGAACTTGATGTGGTCAGATGGCCACCTTTGAGGGGATGATGTGATACTTGTTATTTAATTCATTGTATACTGCCCAAGAGTTGTGACTCTCAGGGAGGTTAACAAAAGTTCTAAAAAATTAAAAGAACTTGCCAAATTAACTTGCCCAAAAGTTTAACTGTCAAAATACTAGTGAATTTATAAGGTATGTGACAGTGTTTTTGACTGAATGAATGAATGAATGAATGAGAAATGGATCTTTCTCCGCTCCATATGTGGAAAAAATCAAGAATGTTCCTAAAGCAGACATGCCAGGAAATTGCTCATATACCAGCTAAGTTTTCACCCCAATGCTCAACTGAACTGTTCTGTTCCTTGACCCATTTATCTGCTATCTGCAAAAGATTTATTAGAGAAGGTAAGTTGATACTTCGTTTTCTTTCTTAGGCAAAGAACCATGCTTAAGATTTCAACTATACCTTGTTGGACAGGTCTCTAAATAAGTTTTCTCTCATAGAATCGAGTAGTAAGACAAAATCCAGGAGAGAGGAATTATCACATCTTCTATGCCCTGCTGGCAGGGATTGAGGGAGAAAAGAAAGGTAAGAGTCCCATTGGGCCTGGATAATTGTTTGCAGTGTCTCTTTACCAGAGCTTTTTCATTATTCTGCCACCATTTTTGTACCTACCAAAGTGCTATGTGGTGCTCACATTCTTGAGTTCTATCACACCAAAAGCATTCCATATCGTACTTTTTTCTCAGTCCCTGAAGTTAGTCTGCCCCAGCCAAATTAGCCCTTGTGTGTGTCAAGACCAGTTTGTGTGGATTGTACTTAATTGTCATGTCCCAAGTAAGGTCATTCCATTTGTTTTGATGACGTTAGTACCTCCCAGTGGCAATATATGAGGAATTCAGGCTGGGGACGGGAGAAAATCGGTTGGATTTGCTCAGCTCAGCTCCCTGGACCTTCTCTTTGCCCTGCTTCCATCCTGCACCAAGCATTCATGTGGGTGTGCAGCAGGAAGTGGTTCCAAGCTTCCATGCAAATGAGATTTGTATATGTTGCACAAAGAGTTACGTACTTCACGTACTTGGCACAAAGAAACCGCTGGCGTTCTCGAGCACCCTTGGCTTGACTCACTTCCTGGCCACGGTTGACCATGGGGAAGACCTCCGGTGAAAGAGCTGGATTCTGGCCTGCTCTTCATATCCCTGCCTCCCAGAACAAATACTAATTCAGATGAATCCCCTGGCTTCTATGAAGGCAATCACCCCAGCCACCGTGCTACCTATGATGCACAGCCACCTGCTTCCTGGCTGGTGTAGGCATTTTCTGCAAGCGTCATGATGACAACCCACCTGTGTGTCAGATCCTCATGACGACGACACACAAGGGGGCTGTTTGCATGGCACAACAGTGCACCATGGGTTATTTACCCCACTACAAGGTTAAAGTGGATGTGGCTGCCATTTTGGCTATGAAAGCCCTGCTTGGGGTTCTCCTGACATACAAACCTAATTAGTGTGGATTGTGCGAGGGTTATTTAACCCTTATATAATCCACGGTCTGTGTTTTAATCCACTTTTTAACCCTCACATAACCCATGCTTAGTGGGTTTACATGACATGAACACCTCCAAGGAGGGGTTGAATATGTGATAACATGTTAATAGTAATACAATGAATAATATGTTACTAACTCACAGTGAAGTGTTCCCTGTCATTCGAACCTGTTCAGAAGATCACTTTTTCTATTCCTGGAAATTTGCTAAATCTAAGCTAGAGAACTTTGAGCAGAGTAACATGAGATTTTATTATTTAGGAATGAGTATGGTACACATTTTCCATTCCTTTTCGGCTATTTCCATTGCCTGCTGAAATTACTTGTGTGTTGATTGATTGATTGATTGATTGATTGATTGATTGATTGAAATGATACATTCATATCCTAACATTTCCTTCGAGAAGGCCCAGGCAGAGTATGTGACCCTCCTTCTCTCCATTTTCTCCTCAAAACAATCTTTTGAGGTAGGTTGGGCTGAGAGTCTAACTGGCCCAAAGTCACCCAGTGAATTTGATGGCTGAGTGGGGACTTGAACCCAGATCTCCTTGAGCTCAGTCCAGCACTCAAACCACTACACCACACCAGCTCTTAAGGAATAGGTAAAGCCAGTATTGGCGATTACAGGAGTGTACTGCAATATTTTGTATTCCTTCTCCTTTAAGCAAATTAACTCTTCTATAGTTTAAATGCAATAGTGTGGTATAATTATGTTCCTGATTCCAGAAGCGTTTTACCTATCTGCACCAGAGAGCTATCACTACCTGAACCAGTCTGGATGTGTTGCGGACAGGACAATCAATGATAAAGAATCATTCAAAGAAGTCATTGTGAGTTGGGGAACCCTTGGCCCAGAGTCCTCATCAGTCCTGCAGGTTCCTAGCCCTGCCCTGTGGAGTCTTCCCCAAGAGGAAGAAGCATGTGGGGCCACTGTCCAAAGACACTCTGTGCATGTACATTGGGAATGCATGCTCCCTCCACCCAGGTTTTCCTCCAGCAACATTGGCTGCCGCTTCTGGAAGGCCCGTGCCTTGTCTGTGATGGCAGCAGTTTTGAGAGACAATTTACAATCATTGGAATAGCATAGTGGAATCTCTTTCTGAACTTAACTCTTCAGAAATTGCCGGTTTCAGTGGTGGGATCTGGAACAAGCCGCAGGCTGCTAAGGAGCATATTCCTCTGATTTCCTGCATCTGCAGGTAGCATGAAATTGAGAAACTTTGCAGATATTTCAGGACCTGATTTTAACACCTGATAATAAGAGCTCATTCTGCTCCAGCACGTTTCCCCTTTCCTCCCCCTGCACTTGTACTTATAATTGATTACTCAGTTGCAATTAATGTATTTTAATGTTGTTAGCCATTCAGAGATCCCTGTTGGGCTATTCAGTGGTGTATAAATTTGAAAACCACTAAATAAACACATACCTGAGGACAGGTGGGGAGGGTAGAGATGCTTGGGCGGAGGAAGAGAGCACACAGTGTTAGCTTCTCAACCCCTCAAGAATCGCCTTGTGTTTTCTTCTAGATGGCCATGGAAGTGATGAAGTTCACCACAGAGGAAGTGCAAGATGTTCTGCGGCTGCTGGCCGGCATTTTGCACCTAGGCAATATAGAATTCATTACTGCTGGCGGAGCACAGGTGTCCTTCAAAGCAGGTGAAAACGGTGGGGGTGCCTGGGTATAAGATGACTTGTTAGGAACATTCATATCCTGTCGTTTTGGTTACAATCTTAATGACAAGGCAGCTTACACAAAGCATCTCTTAAGTCCGGTTCTTACCATGGGTATCGGATGAATCAGAGAAGACACTTGGATACTTGTGGAGGGCTCCCAGTTAAAGGGAAACTGACACTGATAAGGTGACCTCTCACATTTTCATCTCCTCACAGGGAGGCGTCAGTTTCCCTGTCCCTCCCGAGAGATGCTGCCCTGTTTGTCAGACTCTCTTTTTGCTTGTTGATCCATCGCCTCTGTTTCTTCTCCTGCTAGCTCTGGGTAGATCCGCAGAGTTACTTGGGCTGGACTCAACGCAGCTGACCGAAGCACTGACGCAGAGGTCAATGATACTCAGGGGAGAAGAAATCTTAACACCTCTCAGTGTGCAGCAGGTAACATCAATGTGCAGCAGGCGCTTTCATGCTGTTCAGGCGTGCCTGGCTTCCCTTTGCTGGGCCCTTGTAGTCCCCAGCGGGGATGCATACCTGGGTGGCCCAGCAGGACCTCTCAGTTGGATGGACTGAGGTGCGGATGTAATGCAGGGATGGGGAATCTTCAGCCGACTGCCCTAATGCACCCCATGGAGGCCTCCCATCTTGCATGCAGAGGCTCTGGCTATGTCCACCACCCACCAACCTCATTTTCTGCAAGTAATGGGACAGTTAACTGCATATAGAGTATATCTGTTAACATGAATGGAAGTTAAGATAGTCACCACTAATTTCTGTCCCATTCCTTTCAGTGTCTGCTCTGCCTGGGACTAACCCTGCATGTTACCCATACATCCTTTTATTCAGCAGAGGTTGGAAGGAAGATTGGGTCTACATACAGTATGAGGAAGGCAACGGGGTGTGTGTCTGTGTATCAGTTCCAGTGTGCTCGCCATGACTCTGTGCCCTGTACTTAGGTTAAAAACTGTTTCTGGATGAAAAATTGATTTGTTCTGTATTCTCTCTTGCTAGGCAATAGATAGCAGAGATTCGGTAGCTATGGCACTTTATTCCCAATGCTTTGCCTGGATTATTAAAAGAATCAACAGCAGGATAAAAGGCAAGGACAACTTCAAGTCCATTGGAATTTTAGACATCTTTGGATTTGAAAATTTTGAGGTATGTTCCAAAAATAGACTCAATGTTTTTACCTTTTGACATTGCTCCTGCATAATTAAGTTGACTAGGATTGCCCATTTCTGAGAGCATTACTTTTGTTATTTATACATCTGTTTTTCCAGGTTAATCGTTTTGAGCAGTTCAGTATTAACTATGCAAATGAAAAGCTTCAGGAGTATTTCAACAAGCACATTTTTTCATTAGAGCAATTGGAATATAGCAGGTAAGAATTGCAAGGAGCTCTTTTCTCCTGCTGTAGACGTTAAAAACTGGGCTTTGTTTTTAATTTTGATGCTCAGCATTATCCTATCACCATTGTAAAACAGGCTGTATAACTTGGGGAGGGCCACAGTCCGTTTTCACCACTGGGACCCCCCGCTCCGGCACAGACCAGCTGGGTGAGGGGGAATAAACAATAAAATGCCACTTGTCACTGCTCTGTCGCTCCCAAAGAGTCAACACCAGTTTGCAAACAAGCTAATGTTGACTGTGGGTGGTCCCCATAGCAGCTCTGGGTGCCATCTTGTTTGAGAGGAAAAATAATTTTGGGAGGGCTGTTCCCCTGAATTTCACACCAAGGCACTGGGGGGCTGTGGGTTCCACATGTTGCCCCGCCCCCCCGGTTTTAAACAAACAATTCTTTTCCGCTTTTTTATAAAAACAATGTTTGCTTTGGGTAATCGTAATAAAATGTGTCTCTCTTGGGTTTTGTTAGAGAAGGACTTCTATGGGAAGACATTGACTGGACAGATAATGGAGAATGTTTGGATCTAATTGAGAAGGTAAATATATTTCGTATTGTGCATTGTCTATTATACGCATTTGCATTTTATTGCTAATAGATTTAGGATCTCTTGGCTGAGAAGCCACCTATACATTTAAGATATAAATGATCATAATATTGGAATGCAAAGGAAAATGATAGCTGTTTTTACCTTTTTATTTATTATTATTTTAAAAATGATATACTGTTCACTCAGCCCTCTGAACAGTTTGCTCTCTGAACAGTATGCATTCAATAAAATACAAGAACACTATGCAATGTATTAAAACCTGAATAACAGTCAATAAAACATTCCAAGTAAATAAGTAAAAGTTTGCAACATAATTAAGCTAATTAATAAATACAAAAATTCTAGTAGAAAGCAAGGATAAAACAAAAAACCAAAGGGAAGAAGTAGAAGAAAGACCTGGTTCTGGGTGTTAATAAAGTGCCATCTAAACATTAAAATGCTGAGCAAATAGAAAAGTTTTTGCCTTCCGCAAGAACATATGCCATGTTGGCACTAGGCATACATCTCTGGGGAGTGAATACCATAAATGTTTTGCATGGCACAGGATTTGCAAAGACAAAACTATAGCCATTGGCAAAGTAATATGCCTGTCTTTTAATAAAATAATTCTTCATTTCAGAATGCAGCATTGTGGTAAGCTTCATATGCCTATGCTGTTTTAATAGATAATGTTTCTTTATCACTGCTGAGTCACTCTTCTCGCTAGTCATTTTTAAAATATTTTGTTTTATTTTATTTTTAGACCATCCCTTACCATAGTCTCGGGACAGTTTAACAGTAAGATAAAACACAGCACCCTAATGAATTTCTAATAATAAAACCCATATTATAGCATGGAAATACCCAAAATGTAATAACAGGGCAGCATTCACCACCTGGATGAAGGGTTTTCTTGTTCACATGGTGTAATCCAGGGCTGAGCAAGTGGATATCTGCTCAGGCAGCAAAGCTTCCTTCTTCCATCAGCCCACGGCACCCTTCCATAATCTGTTCCGGATGAACCTCAGTCCTTCAGATCAGCTTTGGAGGATGCATGGGAGGCTGCAGGAGAGGGGTGGGGGAGGGAGAAAGGAGAGTGCAGGCAGAAATGTGAAGACTTGTGGGGAAAGATTGGGCAAAATCCAGAAAAACTGGGGAAGAAATTTTCCTTCAGATTTTCCACCTGGGGAAAAATGGATCTGTACTTCCTATTATAGAGGAGATCCTAGAAGGAACAAGTATTTTGAAAGCAGCTAGAGATATCAGGATTCTTTTAAAAATCAAGGTGTGTCCAGGTAGATTTACAGGTAAGTGAAGGAGCCCAGTGGCTGATGGACCGCAGCTAAAAGAAAATTAACAGTATCCATCAGCAGAATTAGGCCAATTTTTTAATAAGAAAAAAAGTTTACTCATTACAGTGCATAGCCTGGCACATCTGGAATGCTGAGGCCTTGCTTGGTGCAGCCTCTCCTGGTTCCTTGGGAATCCGTCTCTTCTCTGTCCGAGAATGCAGCCACAACATAATTCAGAGGCTGGAGTGACGCCCTGGAGCAGATGAGAGGCTGTTGCTGGTGCGAGCAGCACACCCTTGTTCCTTCCACCCCAACCGCTGCTTTAGGGCTTCTGAGCCAGGGTAGAGCTCCAGCCTTCTCCATTGTTTTACCACTGCTGCTGCATTTCTTCGTTGCCTGCATGCAAGGGAACCCTGCAGGGCAATTCTTTCATCTCCAGCAAGATTCCTCGCTAGGCTTCACATGGAGAGGGAGATGTGAGGTCGACGTTGATTGCAGCCCTGCATTTTGTATCATGCCTGATTCCAGCTGAAGAAACCTAAAAGCTTCATTCATGTCAGTCCCTGGAGCGCATAGTCTAATGCATGACACTGATCTACTCTGTTGAACAGTGTGTGATTCTGTTCGCTTCTGCTCAAGAATCGAACAGAAAGGGGGAAAAGCAGTATAAACATTTGTGACCTACTTGATAATATTTTGTCATCCTTGTGTCTTCACTGTCTAGAAACTCGGTTTGTTAGCACTTATAAATGAAGAAAGCCATTTCCCCCAAGCTACTGACAGCACCTTGTTGACAAAGCTACACCTCCAGCACGCTGTAAGTAATGCCATTTCCCTTTGTTGATGGATACGCCCTGTTACTTACCTTCAGCTGTGTAGCTAGTATTTGTTCCAAGTGGTCACGACTTTAGAAAAGTGTTGCCAGGTACGACTCTGGAACCTGCATTGTGCTAATATTCATTATGTGGGTCAGTACACAGAGGTTCTGCATTAAAGGGCCAGGGAACGGCCCTGTTTTCTGCAACGGGTAGGCCATTGGTGCCTCCCGCATCCATGTACACCTTTCTTGGAGCCCACCAAGGTGCCCTGCATCTGCTTAACAACAACATGTTCTCCTACCGGCGGCTGGGATAACTACCAAACAGGCTTTTGTTGATCATGAGAACCATGGTTTCAAGGAGTTGTTTGAACCCCTAGCCGTGCCCTGATTTTCTTGGTAAGTTACACGTCCTCTGTCACGCCTGGTGGCATCCAGGACAGTCCCTCAACTTTCCAGATGTGCCCAAGCCCCAAACGGTTGCCCACCCAGGTTCTATGAGTATTTCCTTTTCCCCCCCTGCTTTTATTAGAATAATGTGCTTCTCTTTGATACTGATCTGTGGAGATTCACCACTATAATAAAATGACTAAGTCAGTTTAAAGAGCTTTATAAAAAGTAGAATCAAGGTCTCATTTAATCTGCATCTTTGCCAAATAGGATTAGGTTTGTAGAATGTCTGTTTGCCTATTGAGATATGAAGCAATGCTGCAGTGAATATCTTTATAAGCATGGCAACCCTTTTCTGAAGTTAGCTTTCCAGCAAGTTCTGACATGTATGGTTGAGACAATATTGTTTTTACACATTCTGTTTTTGCAACCTACAAACGGTGTACCCCTTTTGTTTCCCTTTGCAAATAGAACAATCCTTTTTATGTGAAACCAAGAGTTGCTGTCCACAACTTTGGAGTGAAACATTATGCTGGAGAGGTAATTTTTCTCTGCTGTGTGTATTGAAATTTTTCCAAATGGTGCTTCAACAGCAGTTCAGTTTTGCCCTGCAGCCACTTGCAAATTAACTGAAGCATTCAGTTTCCTCTCTACTCTTTACAATAGTGCTTCTGTGCAAACCATTAATAAGAGGGGCTTTTTTAAAATGAAAAAGAAAAATTAAGTGGCGCCTGTTCTGCCTCTTTTCAAATAGGTCCAGTATGATGTCAGAGGAATTTTAGAGAAAAACAGGGACACTTTCAGGGACGATCTCTTGAACCTCTTACGGGAAAGCAGGTATGTTAATCTTCTAGGATGCTGAAAATACTAGATTCCCGTTGTTGATGGAGATTGATACCCAGTGGACAGCCGTAGTATGCAGTTCTAAACAGAATTCTGCCCCCGGTATGCAGATCCTTTGCTCTGGAAATTATTGGACTTGTGGCTGGTCAGGGGGAATGCCAGTCTGTTCCCTACCCTCAAGCATAAAAGGGGGGTAGATGTATGAACGTTAAGCTTTCCCCCACCTTGTCCCCATTTGCAATGATAATTCAAGTTGAAATTCTGTGGAAGAGGCATCTTTGGTCCCTGAATTCTGCACGTGGTGGGCATGTCGTGAGCAGAGCCGGCTGGAGCTCCGGCTGGGGGTCAGACTAGATGGCCCGGGAGACCCATTCTGACTCGCTCTGTTTCTATGTTTCTGTAACACTTTAGGTAGTAATTTTGCCTTAGTTATATTATGGATGCTCAAACAGATGTTTCCTGATTTATGGAATTCCTAAATTTGGGGACTCGAGTTATCACATCCTGCATTTATAGTCTAAATACATTACAAACATAAAACAAATAGATGACAAGAGACTATTTACTGTTAAGGTAGAATTTAAATGTCTTATATTCTAGCAACAATTTGTAAATACAGAAAGTTTTTCAAGTTTTTTAAATGTCTGTTATTTCAGCAACAAAAATGGATTTTTAAAAACCTAACGAATTGTCCTGTGTATAAAAAGTAGGACCACTAAGAAATCTCCAGAACTGACAGACACCGGGGGGGGGGGGGCTGCACATCCATGTGCGTGCAAGCACACACACACATATACATGTGCTCAGCTCAGAGAAAAATGCGGAGCATAGAAACTTGTTCTGTGCAGTCATTGTTATTTAGCAGATACTTACCCAACCAGACCCTTGCCAGACCTACCCTCATTTTTACATTGGTGTCTGAACATGGAGTTGTTGATTGATATCTGTAGGAATATCTCCCCAAAAAGTCTTTATTCCTCATACTTCTACTCAGTGCAGCAGTGTGTACAGGGGAACACAGGTTCAAAACAAGGGAATTATGCAATTCTTGCATAATTGTGGTGACAGGAAAGTGCTGAGAGTCTCTTCTGCAACAGATCTTAATTGACACTGCACTCTTGAGGCATGCGCGAAGGACATGGTTTGGTACTTAATAGCCTGTGTATATTAGGTTTTTACAGCTGATAGATAAATCCTCAGTGATAGCATTGGAAATAATTAAATGCAGTTGCGATTGCATTGTAATAAACCTAATACCCTGGGAGAATTCTCATAAAATCACAAAAAGTTGCCCCACATTTTGCCACTGCCTGTGCATGTTGTACTTTTTTTCCAGTAGTGATTCACACTAATTTACTTAAATTATTTAAGCCACCCTGAGTTCTGCTTCTGCTTGGCAGGGCAGGAGATTGATTTTTCAAAACAAACAAACAAACATAAATACAATCATTGATCAATCTCATTTTTCTTGACGTCTTCCAAGGAAGGGCAGCAAACACGAGTTTATCATATTTTATCATTAGAACAACCTTATGAGGCAGGCCAGACTGGCCAGAAATAATGACTGGCCTAAGGATCGCCGCAGAGCTGCAGAGCTGGGTGGGGATTTAAATCCAGATTCCCTCTCCAGGTTCAGTATAGTCATATGTACGCCATATTCTGTGAGCACTGGATATTTCAGCACCATGTATCCAGAAGGAAAACCGGGTACAGGTTGTCAGCCTGCTCAGTTCTGCAGCTTTAGATTGCTAGGTACATCAAGGCATTGCTCCCATGGGAAGTATTAAGAGGTTGGAGCCCAATCTCTGAATGCAAGAGCAGCTCTAGCCAGGTTTTTAACCGTAACCCTTGGAATTCTTTGATTGATTGCATTCATTCCGGTCTCTTACTGCATTTCAGCCTTGATTTCATATACGATCTGTTTGAACACGTCTCAAGCCGGAGCAATCAAGACACTTTGAAATGTGGGAGCAAACATCGGAAGCCCACCGTCAGCCTGCAGTTCAAGGTTTGTTCCTTCATCCCAGGAAGGCATTGTGCTTTGTCAGGGACTGAGACCATGAACCCGCTGTCAGATCATATTCATCTCAGAAAGCAGCCGGGAATAACTTGGTTTTTGACCATTTTTTCCAGGGTGTTTTTAGACTTTCTAGAAATAAATATTAGGCTGCAGTCATGTACTCACCTGAGTTCAAGTCCCATTGAACTCAGTGGGTCTTACCTCTGAGTAGACATGTCCATTTGCACTACCAGTGTATGGTGACCCGTTCTTTGACTGCCCATAGATAAGAGTCTGCTCCTGCTATCAGACATTTCCTACGGGAAAAAGTATGTTGGTGGAATTTGCAGGTCTTGCCACTGGGTGCTGCTACAGCACAGTGACTGAGAGCGCTGCCTTACGGAGAGGCATGGTTTACAAATGTAACCCCCCATTTTTTCTTACTTTTTGCTTTAGGAGTCACTGCATTCCTTAATGACAACACTAAGCACATCTAACCCCTTCTTTGTCCGCTGCATCAAGCCAAATATGCAGAAGGTAAGATTCAAAATTGCCTTTTTCTTGGATTTTTTTGCCAAGTGTCCAGAGATTAGTGGCCTAACCGTGTCTTTTGTGGTCATTAGAATAGTAGCTTTCTGCTCATAATCTATGAAATGCTAAATAATTTTACAAGTTAGCATGTTTCTGACATCCGGCTCTCTGCAGTCCTCTATTGCTGATTTATTTTCACATTTGTATGAATTGTAAAGATGACATCTTAAAAATGAAAAATCAAAGAATAGCCAGTAAACCGCTCCTCCCCAGCACAAGCAGAACTGTTTGATGGTTGCTTGTTGGTCACCCTGCAAGCCTTTCCGTATCTAAGCCCCACGGAGTTTAAAGAGACTTTCTCCCAGGTAAGCATGCATGGTGTTTACGGCCTTCAGATGGAAAGCAGTCCCATCTTTGTGGCTAACAAAGCAGATTTCGCTTTAAACAATAACTCTTTCATTGCCACTCTTCACCTTTCAAACCGTGTGCATGTTTGTGTAAGGGCTTGACTAATTCTTCACACTGATTGTCTCCTCAGAGTTCCTATATATGCTCTTCTAGAGGAACTGAGGAGAGTATCAAGCTCTGTTCCCAAGGGTACTAGTCAGGCCTGCCGGATCTTGCTGCTGCCTCAAATTAACTGGGGTTATACTTGGGGAAGAGTTCCACTTTGCTTCAGTGTCTGTACAGGAAAAACAGTGACCGGTGTCCATTGGACATCCTGGTCTTCCCAGAGAGGAACCTCTGAGAGGCTTCCAGCAGCCAGGAGGGTTCATTCTAGCTCAGCTGGAAAGTCACTGACTTAGGTTCCAGTATAATACTTGGAGAAAATAGTTTGTTCATTCTGAGAGTGAAATACCACTTTTAATGCTCATTAGTTACATCCCTTGGATACTGGTCATTCAGGTCAGGCAAACACTTCTCAAAAGCATGGCTATCAAAGGCATAATAGAGCTAAAATAGAAATGCACAGTGACCTTTCATTGGCCCAAATCAGTGACTTTCAAGTTGAATGGTTTGTTTCATCTCTGCTGGAACAGATTTAGTAAAACTAAAAGCTCATCAGTGGATTCATGGCTTCAAGAAAACTGGTGCATTTCCAAAAAGGTCACAGAAATTACAGGGGGAAAGCAGAGTGGTTGTTTTTACAGGTTCTGAGTGGAAACAGATTTGGAACTCTTGCTGTAGATGATTCCTTTCAGCTGAATTTGTGCAAGTTGTTGGGGTATCTTATTTCCTAATCTTGGGAGTACATGTTAGCTGCTGTTGAATCTTCAGTTTTAGCTAGAATTTCAACTTTAAAAAAACACAACCCAGAATTATCAATGCATATGTCCAGCTCTCATAAAAGAAAAGACCTCTAAAGCGTGTGCAGTAGAGATCCAGAGCCCTTTAGCTTAGTTTTGTTGAGCTTCTGCAGGCGTCCTCATGCATGTGTGCCGTTTTACTGCTTAGCCACACACAGCAAGAAAAGTCTGCGGTCAGAATGAATGCAAGCAGGGAAAGCTGCAAATATTTGTTGCAAGTTCTCTCTACCTTGAGAGATTTGGCTATGGGTAGTATAGGAAGGAAGGAAAGAAAATTCATTTTGAGTAGCGATTTCAGTTGTTTTTGGAGTCAGATCATATGGCATTTTCTTGTCTCAAATTGTATTTCACATGATAAATTAATTCCAAATTTTATACATCCCTTTGAGCAATTTGGAAATAAGTGTTTGTTGGGTTCTTGCATATCGGAGGTTTCTTTTTGTTGCTTGAATACATGACAAAGTGTAATTGCCACAAGAAAACATAGCAGACAAGAACCATCTGTTGTACAAGATGGAAGGTACATTCTTTGTATACACATTATAAGTGTCACAAGAAGTAAAGGATTTAATGGTCACAAAAACATTTTTCAGAAAATCTATACAGACAAAATTAAGTATAATTACATATATTTTAGGATATGCACATGCATTCGGTAGTGCGCTCTCTCTCTCTCTCTCGCTCTCTCTCTCTGCATCACATTACTTTAGCAATATCTTTGTTGGAGTATTACATTGCACATGAGGTCTGGGAGTCTGCCTCTCACATGCAGGCTGACCATTTTATATAAGTGAGGCCATTGTAATCGGGCATCTGTTGCATATCTTTCATGGGAAATGCAGTCCTGCTTCACACAGCCCTTGTGTGATGTGTCCACGGAGCAGGATGCAAGAAGAAGCACTTGGGGCTCACACCTCGTTTCTCAATCCCATGTATGGAAGAATGGGATGCAAATAATTGCTTACTTCCCCATTGCAAACTTAGCCCTCCGTGCCTCCCAGTGCTTTAGGGGTAGCAGTAGAACATCTCAAGAAGCATGTCCGGGATGCTCACGTGAGCCCTTCTTCTCTACCTGCTATTTGTGTGTTCTTTTACAAAATTGTACTGCACCTTTTGACCCTCAAAAATGGCCACCAAAATCAACAGAAAGTGTTAAAATGGCATTGTTAAACCATCAAAGCAGCAGAAAAGGCGATAGCATTCCAGCTGTAGAAAGAACTCAGTGCTTGATTAAAACAGAATAGCATTTGCTGCTTACCTGAATGCTTCATGTGATCTCTCAGGGAAAGGAGAGAACGTTGCATTCTGTTATTCCACAGGGTCTTGCACTGTGCAGGCTTTTGAAAGTGTAAAGCTTAATACTTGTTTTATCAAAGTTGATTAGCAAACTGAGCACCGTGCTCCCCTGGTGTAACTGAAACTGGTGATGCGAAATCTTGGATGCCAGTTTCCAATTTGGAAAAGGTCTGAGGGCCTCTTTTCCAGCTGTGCGTGGTGTGAGGAGGGCAGGGGCCAGAGGTGATTCTGACCGGTGGAGGCATTGCCCACCTGTATACAAAGCACAGCTCAGGGCTCAGCAGGTCGACTCAGCAGTAAGCCCCAGTGCAGCATCATTCGGGTCTCCAAAGCATGGCTCATTTTTGAGCAAGCCCATCCAGGCATACGCCCTGTTGCAAAAGCTCTCGTGCCTACTAAAGCAACAGCTCAGTTCTGAGCAGGTTTTTAAATTTTTAATTTCCTTTAAGTATCCTCTCATGACCAATCACACAGATTGAACTTCCCAGCAGAAGGGGCTTGTGGGGAGGATGGGGGGGGGGAAGGCAGTGGGAACGCCTGGGCTGCATCTGGATGACAGTCAGAATCCCCCCACCTAAGATTTTAACCAAATCCACTGTGTACTTATAAAATAGCTGTGAGGCAATACATTCCGTGATATTTATTTGAGAAGGCTGTTGTCGGTAGAATGGAAAGGAAGCAGCACAGCACCATTTTGTGCTTGTGCACTTGCATTGACATACATGCTCACGCTGGACTCGAGATGCACCCCACACATCACACATGGATTTAAAATCTGGAGAACTGGGGCTGACATGAAAGACATCTGCAGCATTTTTCCCAACTTAGGAACATAAAATCTTGTTTGTAGTTCCGTACACAGTGGGCCAAGGACACATAAACTGGAGGCTTTGTGCTGTTTTTCAGCTTGCTCACATTCCGCTGTGAACCAGCCCAAAGGATAGAAGTAACACATGTTTTTCTGCAGGCCTGTGCCAGCTCAAGCCGCCTTGGCCACAGGAGAAGCTGTCCTTGTGTGCATGGCTTGGCAGAGGGTGGATGGCAGGTGCGAAGTTTAATTGGAAGGGAGTCGTGGTGGGATGAGCAATGCCTATTGCCTGTTCTCGTAGTTAGCCGGAAACATGGCTATCGTTAAACCAGGAATATAAACTTGATTCAGCCTGCTGGATTTGGTTCAAAATATTATATTTCCGTTCCACAATGGGGGAAAATGCTGTGCATCGGCATTAAAAATAATGGATCTTTTGTGGCAGGGGGACTTGGGCTACTGTCTAGGCAGAGCCTGAGTTCATGAATAACAGTGTAACTACTGAGTGTAACTAATGACTGACGCCTGTCTTTCAGGATGACTCATACAATAGGCCAAAAATGTTATGAGGAACCAGATTTTAAGTAAGTGGGAGGTCACTCAAGGACAGAGGAGGGAGACAATACACAGATGCCTCAAGCAACAATGATCATACATGCTCACTTCTGTATCGTGTAACCAGTGCGTTCGGCAGGCTGGAAGAAGTCCTTTGTCACCAAACTTGAAAACAAAAAATCCTTGTCAGTGCAACACAATGGACAGTTCTAAGTTTCCTTGCCCTTGCAATATGTCAGCAGGTTTACACTGATGTGCAGCGTCTTGTAATTCTCCTTTAGGAGAGGTGACTGCATCATTTGCTACAGGCAGTGCAACACTTTAAATGGTTCACTGAAGCACTGCCCAGAATATTGCTCTAATTACACTCATGTTCATATGCAGTGCTAAACCATGGTTTACTGTTACCAAGGATCGGCTTCAGTGAACCTTGCATTTACATGCGCTCCCTGCCTCCTCTTTTTCTGATGGAGGTACAGAAAAGAAAATTGCACACTTGCGTTTTACATTAATCACAGTGTATGTTGCATCCAAATCTTAGGGCAAAATGTTCCTGATGTTTTATCTCAGTGATGTAATGTTTCGCTCGCGTGTGTGGCTTGCAGGGCACTATTCTGCTTTTCCTCTAAGTACTCCATTAATGTTTTACTGTATGCACACTCCACACGCTACGAAGTCACGGATGAATGTGCCAGTCTAGCAGAGAGGCTTGGGCTGTTGCACCTCCTTTGAATCCCCCAGGAACAGCAAAGAAGTGCACGGAGCTATGGGGTCCTGCAAAGCATTAATTGCTCAAAAGAGAAGTGCTGCTGTTGTGTTGTTAGGAAGTCAGCTTGTTCTGAAGTGACCTCAGGTGGAGGGGAAAGGCTTTGTTGGTGGGAAATCTGTATGCTTGGTGTGGCATTTGAGGCTGTTTTTTCACTGGGAATGACCACGTAATTTAATTTTTAGCTTGCATTTTAGCCAGCTCTGTAGGTGTGCATGCAGTTCAATGTAGATGTGCATTTCAAGCAAGATTGCTGGGCTTGAAAATTAAGGAA